TTCCTTTCCCTTCCTTTTCCCCTCCCACCCCTTGATCTTTACAGATCAAAAGGCCCTCGACTTCTGATGGTTTGAGCCATTCTGGCCATCTTCAAGGCCACTCTCTGATGTTTGCTCAAGGGCAAGTGGAGAGAGAAAGGATATATGAGAGCCTGGGAGAGTCACTGACATGATGTCCTAGCTGTCAGTTCTCAGTAAATCTAGCATTTCTTCTGTGAGGAGTCCTCCTTTCCCAGGCAGTCTATATTGCAGGAAAAGGCTCCAAGGCATTCTGAACCCATTTCAATGAATGTACCACCCATGGTGATGCAAAGCCCCTCTTGGGAGGTGAGTGCATGGGAAGAAGGCTGGAGCAGACCAAACTGGCAGTGGGTTCCCTTGGCTATTCCTCCTCTTGCAGGGCAGGTGCCAGCACAGGTAAGGGATTCCCTGAATAGATCTTCGGCTCTGACAGAGGAATTTTTCATCAGCAAGAGATCTGTTCCTGTTCGCTCCTGAGGTGTTGGGGGTGTGGAGAGGAACATGTTTTTTGCACTTTGAGTTGGTCTCTCTGTTCTCTGCTCTTCCTTGGGACACCAATTGCTCCAGACTGCCTTCTGCTAATGGGGCCTTTGAGGGATTGAACTGTTGCGCTGTAGTTCCAGACCAGGGCTGGAAAACCCAACACCTTTCTGCCCTTTATTTTCACTTGCTCCCTCCTTGCTTGAGTTCACTGTTGCTCTTCTTGATGGCACAATAACCAACAGACTTAGGACTGAGCCTGTCTCCCCCTGGGCAATGTCTGCAGTATCCAGAGCCGGGAGAGGGAAGAAGGTCAGTTCCATGCCTGGAGTTGCTACCTTATCCCAGGAGAACCTCCTGGCTGTGGCACGCTCAGAGACCTCTCAGCCTGATGGAGACAGCAGCGTACAGCCCTTGCCCCCTCCTCTAAGTCCACAGCTATTAGGGAAGAACCTGGAAGCACTTCCACCCTGGAGGCTGTAAGCAGGTTAATGTCCAATGCACTAATGGGATGTTGTTTCCAAACATGCTGCCCCTTGTAATGAAAAATGGGCTCCTCTCCATTTGGCAAAGAATGAGGCATCGGTGTAACAGTGCAGGAACCGTTCACGCTACGTAGTGCTTACGCAGTACTTGCCATCTCCCACAGCCATGGCAATGTGCAGGTACTCATGTGGAAGGACCCTCATGTCTTTATTCGTGACAGCTGTCAGTCCCTGGAAAACAATCCCTTCCCTCCCTCCTCCCAGAGTCCCAAAGCCAAGCTGGAAGGCTGGGAGCACACGAGCAGGGAAGGAAATCTGCCAACTTTCTCCCTCTTGCTCTCTCTTTAGCTGCCTGTGAGGGAAGTTGCAGGAAAATAATGAAATAAAAGCCAAGGCCCAGAGAAAGCTGATTCATCCACAGCCCAGGGCCAGCGGCCGGCTCCAAGCAGAGCTGTAAAATCAATCTGTCACTGCTCACCGCAGTATAGATCAGGGGAGAGATTCTGACTGCAGCGAGGGCAGAGCCCAGCCTCCTCCTGGGGCCCATTTTCCCCAGCCGTGGGACCCGGTTGTACCCCTGGGGGACACAGGCAGGGGAAGAGACAGAGAGGAAGAAGGGCTGGTCTGCCGGCTCCGTGAGTTGGAAACGCTCCCAGCAAGGCTCCTTTCCCTGGCAGCACACTGCTGCGTGGCTGCCTTCCCTGCCCGACTCTTCCCTCCTCGTGTGGGCAAATGCCACAAGGGCCGGGTGATGGAGGAGAGGGGGGAGAAGGGCTGTCTGTACTCCCATCCCCTACTCCATAGAACTGTTGTGCATTACCTCCAGTATTCCCCAGCCTGGGCACAGAGGGTTAAAAAAATCAGTTTTATCATCACCTTTGTGACTCCCAGATTTCGGGCTATTATGGGATTTAACAGCTCCCTGGCATATGTTGGAATGACACTAGGGAGTTGCTCTAATAAGGTCAGCTCCCTTGTTCACCCCTAACAGCATCTCCAGTCTCGGAGGATGTAGGAGCCCAACAGATCAGCAGCTGAGCAGAAAGGTGTAAGCCAAGGTAGTTCTCAGGGCTGCTTCCATCACTGTTAAGGGGGCAGAGAGGTCAGGCCTGGCAGGAGGGTGGTGGTCTCAGAGGCATCAACACAAGAGTATTAAAAGATGATTCTTCTTCGGTAGTGCTGGACATAGAGAATGAGGCACCTCTGCAGCCAACTTAAAGTACCTGTGACGTCCTTAAGAGGTTTTTTCTTGGTGAAGATTTTTTTTTTTTTTTTTTACTTGTGAAGTAACAAACAGCAGAGTCTTTCCAGGGCTTTTGACAAGGTCAGATCCTCTGCAAAATAAACATGGGGGTGAACTTCTATACCCTCTGGGTGATCATCTGCAACGGGACAACTAAGCATCGGGGGCCTGGCGTCGAATCAGATCGAGGACCCAAATGTCCCACACCACTGGGGATGTGGTGCTTGCTTCTGCTTGTCTCTGGGGGCCGTTCTGTTCTGCTGGATTTAAATACTGTTCCCAAGTCAGTGGGAGTATGAGCAAGTACCATTTGACCCCCACGGGCCCTGGTAGCACAAGGATCCTGCCCCAGCAGTTCTGAGTCCAGAACGGATCTGTGCCAGCAGGACAGCCTCTGGGAGACTCATCCCAAACAGACTGCAAGATGATTCTAGAGGAACTCAAGCAGGAGAAAATCCTGCATTAATTTGGATTTGGAAACCTTTTCTCCTACTTCAACACCTTCCAAGACGAGATAGTGTCTGTCCCTGGAGCAGGTAGAAAAAGATGGGAGCAAGTCTCTGTTCCTTTAGGTTTTAGCTTGAAAAGGGCTTGGAGGAAAAACCTAACAGTCATAACCCCCAAAGTGATAAAAGCAAGGAAACTAGAGTCTGAAGTTGCCAAGGCAAGCTTCCTCCTCCTCTCATCCCAGGTGGAGTGAGTAGCTTTAGCATTTAATCCACTGGGAACAGACATCTACAGATGATCCAGGGAACATCCAGAAATGTCCTCAGAGCTGCACACCTCCTGTCTCCCTGAGGAGGGTGTGTGTGCCTGTGTGTGTATGTCTGCATGTTTTTTTCGCCTCCTGGGGTTTGCAGGTTTGGAGTGAAAGAGGACACAACAAGCTTCCTATGTGTCATTTTCAACAGGGCTGCTGACCTTGTGCATTTGTACCCGGTGGACCAACCCATTTCTTTGTGCCATCTAGCTGGTGTGTGTGGTACCTGGGGCTAGTTTTGTAGTTGGGTGCTTTGCGCTTGTTGCCTGTGTTTCGAGGGAGGCAACTCATTCCCGAAGGGGTTCTGATTTTTTGCCCCCCTGCTCCATGTACAGTGCTTGGTGGCCTTTCCCTGGGGCTGTTGTACGCATTTGAGAAGGATAGGGGCAGTCCCATGCTTTCTGGGTTTGGATTTGCATGACGTTATTTCTCTCCCAACAGAGAGAAAAATATGTGTGGGGGGGTGTCAAAAGAGCTCACCACCCCCCTATAGATCTGCAGGTGTGAGATAGTTGGGGTAATTATGTTGTTATGTACTTATACAATAACTAGCAGGATGGGGATGTGGGCCACAAGTGAGCTTCTTGAGATGCAACTGGACATCACAGTATAACACGTGTGATATTTATGCTGAGGGCAATGCCTTCACCCGGCTGCTGAGTGTGTGTACATTTGTGTGAGGCAGGGGTGCGGGCGGTGTCTGTTTGGCTGCAAGTGGAAGTTTCTGAGCATTTCCATTTGTTATTGCAACCTCTGTGCGTGCCCGTGTGAAGGACGCAGTCAGCTGGCACAAGAACATATGGGCATGAGCTGGTCATGGGTAAATGTAGGTGCTGGGGCAGGTTTCTAACACCAGAGTGGCCAGGGGCCAGAACAGCCTCTGAGCAGGGAGCAAACAGTCTCACAGTGCCAGGGTGGACCTTGAGACATTTCTGAGCAAGAGCGCATGATGAGGTTGCCTGGAATAGCAGGAGACTAGATTGTACATCCCAGGGAGCCAGCTCCCATCCAATGGCCTATGTTCCTAAGTTTCTTTGCAGCTGTTGCACATCTGCGCGTGTCCGAGTGTGACAGGCAGTCCCTCCGCTGCGGTGGTGAGTGTGAGGGACACGTCATGTCCCTCCAGTCGTGGTCTGCGTGTCCGCACGTCTGCGCAGGGATTTTTTATGTCTAGCTGCCATACGTGTTTGTGCTTTCTGTGAAGGAGCTAGGGAGGAACTTCTTAAGAGCCATTTTGTGTTTGGTAAGGTGGTTTCCTAGCAGGTGTTGCCTGTGTGTGATATTTGGGGGCTGAGCTGCGGCTGGCTCCTCAAGAACATGGATGTTTGTTTCTGACTGTGGGCAAGATCCCCACCAGTGATGGCATGTGTGGGTTTGGGCACAGGGAGGTGGAAAGTCATCCAGGAAACTTGCATGTACCCGAGGGAATGTGGTTACGGGTGTTTTCTGAGGAGCTGTTGCATGTTTCTGTGTGTGGTGATTTGAGGAGCTGCATGAAAGACAGTCTCCCCAGAACAGTCGCCTGCGTGTGTTTGTGTGTGGATGAAAGGTTTCTCCCACCTCCTGTTGTGTTTTTAGGTGTCAATTTTCTTAGCAAAGATCGCAGGGGCATGTATCAAGCTGTAGTTTCCCATGGCTGTTGCACATATCCGTGTCAGTAGGTGTATAGCTGTTGCATGCATATGTGTGTGCTTGTAGCTCCTCAGGAGCTGTTGCTTGTACCTGTATCATTCCTAGAAGCTGTTGTATTTTTTTTATGTGGGTGGCTTGGTTCTGAGAAGCTGTAGACTCTGTGTGTGTGTGTGTGTGTGTGTGTGTGTGTGATTCCCCAGCAGCTGTTGCTTGCGTGTGTTCGTGGGAAGCTGTTGTATGTCGTGTGTAGCTCTTCGGCAGCTGTTGTAAGGAAATTGTGTGTGTGTGTGTGTGTGTGTGTGCGTGCAGTTCCCCAGCAGCTGTTGCATGCGTGCTCATGTCTCCGGTGGAGGCCCACCCCTTTCCGCCTGCACCGGAGCGGTGGCTGTGCAGGCGAGGAGAGCTCGGAGCTGGCTCCATGGGAGAGGGACCTTCGCCTGTCACAGCCTTCCCAGCTGGGAGAAGCAGTGCCGGCTCTCGTCCCAGAGCCCTATCAGCCAAGCCTGTGGCGAATTAATCACTTGCCTTTTAAATGCCAATACAGCCCTTTCTGCCTTCTTCCCCCAGTGATGCGGATGCGGCGAAGGCGGCAAATCCTCCGGCTGTGCGTGCCCTCCCTGGACTGCTGCTCCGTCCCCGCCTGTCGTGCTCGTGTGTGTGCGTGGCTGGGAGTGCTGCCTAAGTGCAGCCGGGAATGAGACAGCTGTGGGGCAGGGGACGGCACAGCTCCAAGGGGTGACACAAGGTGGGGGGATACCTCCCCCGCACCCACCCGCAGGGCTGCAAGTTGCTTGAAGACAGGGGTCTTTTGTGCCTCCACTTCGCCTCTGTCATGCCCCGCGTGGAAGCTGGGAGCAGTCGCCCCTCCAGAAGCAGGTATGTGTGCGTGTGTGTGGCGTGTGTACGACACGTTTTTGTGTGCAGCCCTTGTGCAGCAGCCACCTCGCGTGTCCTCGGCTCCCTGTTGTCGTCCGTGTCGCCTCTCGGAGAAGCCGCTGAGATTGGAGGGGGAGGACCGAGGTGGGGAGAAGGGCAGGATGGATGCATTGCCCTTCTCCTCCACCCAGTGCATGCACTCCCGGGGGGGGGTGGGTGTCTCTGATCTGAGGATGAAGGCAAGGGGTGAGTGCGAGGGAGATGGGGAAGTGGCCAGAGGGAGGTGGGGGGGTGGGGTGGGGGAAGGATAATGCCCACATGGGGTGATGGGATGGGGAGAGAGGCTTGGAGACAGGTCTCCCTTTCAGAGTGTGTGTGTGTGTGTGTGTGTGTGTGTGTGTGTGTGTGTGCCCGCACGCGTGTGCGTGTGTGTGCATGCACTCGCTTAGGATCAGGATGCTGAAAAGGTCCAGGGCTTGCTGCACGCAGCTGGGTTTGACTGGTCTGCTTCTATTCAGACCTTGCAAGAAAAGGGGATACATGTCTAGGTATGTATACATATGTATATGTCTGTGTGTGCATATACATATATATGTACAGGTATAGCTATAGGTATATGTACATACCCCCCCCCAGACACGCATGTGCAGATACAGATATAGATGCACAGACATATATGTATATTGCCTGCAGTTATGGGAAGGAGAAGGAAACAGCTTCAGCCCACAGCCCCCTGCTCCCTGCCCCTTTGCAAACTTTGTCGGGGAGCCTTTGCAGACAGTGGGGGGTGTGTGTGTCCCCCCCGTGTGTTTGTGTGTCTGTGTGTCTGTGTGCGTGTGTGGTGTGTGAACACTCGCCTGGTTTGGATGCAGGGGAGTGAGTAAATCTCTGCTCTGCTTTTACACTGCTCTGCTGGGAGGCTGACTGGCTGCAGAAAAGTCATTGCGTGGTGTCTGTCGGGTGTGTGAGTGTGCGTGTGGCGGTGGTGGGAGCTGGATATTTATGTAGGGGCCCAGGACAGCTACTCGAATGCATACGTACGTGTATATGCATTGCTTGCAGTGTGTCTGCATGCCCATTTATTCTACCAGGGAAAGCATGCCCACATTTTTATGCATAAGGATCCTCCTGCTTTGGGGCATGGGATGGGGGGAGGAGAAGCTGAATGAATGAATGGGAGCAAGAGGAGGGGGAAGGAGGAGGCGTGGGGGTGGGGGAGAGAGACAAACAGACGCATCCTATTCTCATCCCAGGACAGGCAGGAGTGCACAGCTGCTGCCGTTCCCATTCCAGGGCTTGGATCTGGCTGGGGAAAGGCAGCATAAACCTGCTAATGCTGCAGCAGGCAGCATATTCGGGAGCTGCTGTGCGTAATGCCCTCTCCTGTGTGTGTCTGCTGGTGTGGCTCCCCCCTGCATGTGAGCACACGTGTGTGCGTATTGCATGTGGGTGTGTGTGCGGGGGGGGGGGGTGGAGGGGGTGGGGGGTGCTGTGCACAAACAATACGCTTGCAAACATCCTTGCAAGCATCCAGGGAAGGAGGTGCCGGAGATGGGGAGGAGAGCATCGCTCGGGTGCTGCATCTTGCAGCCGCGCACGGCCCGCGGTCCGTTGGCACCCGCTCGGGGCTCACGCAGGCGTCTGCTGCCGAGGGCCGGTGCGTGCACGCAAAGTGGGTGCACATGTGCAGGCCAGACTTGGGACCTGCTCCCCCTCCTTTTCCCCTAAAGGCTGGGGAGAGCGACCCTTACCCCCACCCTGGAGGTAGGGAGCGACCAACCGAGCTGAGAAGCAGGGAGAGGATTGCTGAGATTGGAGGTGGGGGGGTAAAGATTATGGTGGGAGTGGGGAGGGGAGGGGTGGTGGTTCCTGGAAGGGGGTTAGGGGACTGGGGAGCCTGGCTGCATTGCATGCTGTGAGCCAAGGAATTTGTCATGCACCGGGAGGCGGGAGGGAGCGGGAGTGTGTGCGATGTGGGGGAGCTGGGGTGGAGGGGGAGAAAGGAGGCTATGCTGGGGTAGGAGAGGAATTTCTGGTGACCTGCATCCCCACCCCACCCTGCCCCTGTCCCCACACATGCTGTCACTCCTGGGTCCTGGGAAGCGCAGCCTGACAGCATCACTAATGTAATATTCAAAGGAAGCTTCATTTGCATGGTGCATGCATTATTAATATATTTAAATACAGCCCCCCTCTTGCCTCTCTGCTCTGTGCAGACTATACCAGCAGCAGTGAGGAAGCTGCAGGGAGTGGAGGGGTGCCGATGCGGTGCTGGGGGTGAGAAACAGCCAGTTTAATTTCACTGATTTCCAGAGCCTAAAAACCTTTTTTTCCCTCACCTCCCAGCCCCTTCCCCACCTGCCACCCTCCTCACCCTATTATTCTCCTTTGGGATGTGGTTGGCTTTCAGGGCTTCCAACCCACAAGCATGCAGATTTGTTGGTATGAAGCAAGCTACTTTCATTGCTTTTCCCCCATCAAAAACTACGACACCAAGGGAAGAACTGTGGGTGTGTGGCCTTTCCCTTTCTTCACCCAGCTCCAGGCAAAGTGGGTATTTGGGAATATGCTGTCTGATCCGCTGCGCCGGTGCAAAGCTGAGCTGTGGAGCAGAAGCCGCTTGGAGGGTAGAGAGGGCATTTGGGGAAAGGGGGCATACAGAGGTGTAGTTTTTGCTGGGGGGCAGCTTGCAGCTAAAATCAGAAAGGCGAAAGTCACAGGGAGAGGGGGAAGGCAGGAGGGAGGGAAGCATAGCTGTGATGATGTCCGTGATGTTTGTTCCTACCTGGGTCATGTCAGAAGCCAGATGCAGCTCCAGGCAGAGTGCAGCTGCCTCATCTGACCCTGTTGAAGAGCGGTGGAGAGCACTGCTCAACTGGGAAAAAAGCTAGTGGTCACATCAGGGCCTGTTGAAACCTCCCGGTGCTGTCAGCAGCTGTGTCAAAAAATATCAGCGCATTTGCAGAGAGAGAGAGAGACCTGGCTGCTCTCTCCCTCATCCCAGATATTGTGTTTTCTCCCTCTGTCCCCTGTAAGTGTGGGCCTGGGCTAAGTTGTTTCTTTTATTGGTGTGAGGGAGGGCAGAGGACATGCAGGGAACACCTCTGTCCTCGCACTCTTGTGAGCTGATGAGACGTACCCTGATCTGGGAAAGGGATGTGATGTTCCCCAAACACACTTGCAGCCCTCATCCGTGCCCGGGCACCAGAGTAGGACAGGAGCAGCTTAACGGCACAGCAAATGTGCTCCAGGAAAATATCCCCTTTTCTGGAAACAGAGGAGCTTTTGCTTTTCTCCTCCATGGAAGATCAGAGCTGTCCCGAACAGCAAGGGATGCCAGGCTGCTGGTAGGTGTGGGGAAAGCTGCAGCTTCCCCGGTAACACTCAGAGTTCTGCTGGTGGGGATTGTCCAGGCTGGTCCCGATGCTGAGCTACAGCAGGTGCTTGGGCTCTCTTTGGGGTTCTGCAGGGGCAGAACTCAGTGTCCCCTGATGCTTTTCTGTTTGCGAAGAGGGGTGAAGAAGGACATGGGGTTGAGCCACTGAAGGGAGTCAGGCTGAATCCACGGGAGAAATCCTCTTTTTGGTCTGGAAGGGGAGACTGCAAAGCTCAGGGAGCAGACCAAAGGGCTGTGACCCACCTTTCTCTCAGCTGGGTCAGGATGGGTTTTCTGCAGCTGCAAACCAGATGAAGGCTGTATTTAAAGCCCCAGATGAGTCAAGCTTGGCACTTTTGGAGGTGACAATGACTGTGGGACTGCTGTTGTGCTTGCTTCAGTGGCGAGGTGGTCTGGCAGCAGTTACAGCTTTACTTTAGCAAAGCTGCGTTCGTGCCCTGGCTTTCATGTGCTCCCCAGCCAGTGTTAGTTTTGTGGCTTGCTTTGCTGTTCCCTGACTTTCTCTTTAAGGAGTTATAGCAGTCCTTTGGGTCTCCTGGGAGCTCAGGGGTACCTAGCTATTGCCTGAGATGAACTGCTTTCCTCATGGACAGGACTGACCAAATAATTTTCTGTCACTGAGGAGAAATGACCTCATTTGCTCAACACTTACAAGCCAAAAGGACACCCAGTTCCAGCTGACTGCTGAGGTACAGAAGGAGGGAAGGGCAGTTGTCACTCTTTTCACAGCATGATAAGGGGTGGGAAACAAGCCATTAGGAGCCAGGTTGAGGTGAATGATATGATGGGTTTGGTCCCTAGATGCTGCCTCTTGCAGGGAGTCTTTAAAGTTCCCAGGCAGCCCTGCTTTGGGTAGACACAGTGGCTACAAGGTGCCTTAAGATATAGCACCAGATGCCGCAGAGATAGGCATGGGATCAAAACCCTATAGGAGAATCTGCCCTGCTGTTGGAGGTGAGGCCCATCCATCCCCCTTTGCTGACACAACTGGTATGCTGGGGCCGTTCCTTCCCATCTGCACTCACCCCGGGAACTGCATCTCCAGCTTTTCAGACCCTTAGCACAGAATTTTGTTCCAGGGAGCTGACGGTGCAACATGAATTTCACAGAGGTGAGATGTGTCTGGGGGCCAAGAACACTTGTTCTTCCCTACACAGAGACAGGCACGCACAAGGTTAACACCAGTCTGGTTTTGGTAAGCCGCAGGGGGAGGGTTGTTTGCAAGAAACTGGGGGTGCTTTTGACTCCTGTGGGTGTCAGTTAGTCCGATAGCAGAGAGATGGAGCAAATACTGTTGTGAGGAAGGATTGTCAGCAGCGTGACTTGGGGAGGGGGGTCACAAAGGAGCAGGAGGGATCCCTAGCCCTGCCACAGCTGGCCTGTGGGGAAGTCCCTTCCTTCCCCTCTATATTCCTCAGCACTCACCTCACTTCTGAATGGCTTGGGTGATAAGCTAATCACCATGGAAGGTGCTATAGCTGTGCAGACTGTGGCTCAGGATGGTGTACAGGCTACCAGTTGCCTTAAGGCAAGGTGTCATATGTTTGTATTCATTCTTTCAATGGCTCATGCGCTCAATCTGTAGAGCAGATGGGTCAGAGCT